TGATGGCTGCCCCCAACAACACGCCGTCGCACCACGTCGTCGGCAACAGCAGCAACAACAACGGCTGCCGGAAGCCCGGCGCTCAGGTGTGTTTCCGGGTCTCGCCGGCCTGGAACCGCGGCGGTACCACACCGACCATCCGCAGAGATGCACTTTAGAACCCAACCCAGCACACGTACGGGTGTCAGTGAGGTGGCCCGCTATTTCTGCAGCAGCACGCATTATTCCTTCGGATGTTGTCTCGTGCCTTCCTATAAATTTGTGACTGTCGGGACTTCGTATCGATTTTCTGAACAGTGGGACCCCGAGATGTGGACGTAATTGTCGCATGAACCTTGTCTCTAACTTATTGGAACATCCACATGTCTGACCTCACTTCCTACATAGACTTCAATGGAAATAGTTTTAATTGGTTTGGCTGTAAAAAAAATAGTTGAAAAATGCCCTCAAAAACTAAAAAAAAAAATATGATGTTTCATCAAATTAAAGATACAGAACATGTACAGATAAATGTACAGATGAAAACCACACAGAATTTGATCTTTTGGCATCAAAAAGAGCTCAAGAAGCAAAACCCAAAAACAAATCTTGGTGTACTAAGCAAGTGCTGAGCATGCACGATGGAAAAAAACGAAAAAATGAAGCACAAAATTAGCCTGTTTGTCAATATGAATTAGGAAAATTATATCATTAAATTTATGTTTAACATTTGAAAAGGTTATATAATGTTGAATATAATAGCTCAACTTCTTCCAGAAATATGAAAATTCATAGAAATGATATTTTCAAATTCTTCTAGAAATCTTTATAAACACGTTACTATATTGAGTCACTGTTCCGATTTTGTGGAAAGATTTTTTTTGTTCCAAGTGTTCCTAAGTCAAATTGTCCATATTTTGGGGGGTCTGCGTTTCAGGTTATCACTGTACTTCTTCCCAATGTTCTCAAAATCTTTTCTCTATCTGTGTCTAACCTGAGTCTCCGAAAGTGTTTTTAATCTTCAAGAAAGGAGCGATATAACGTACAGGGTGGGCCCAAAAAACTGTTCACCGATTTTAGACTCAAAAGAGCTCCATGCCAAATCTTGCTGCAGAAATTAAAGACACCAAGAATGCTTGTTCAATTCCCGTTTCAAGTGGTCTGAGTTTTATGGTCTCAAATGCAGTCAGGACATCAATATTACCTTCCGCCACCGATTGACCGAAGAACTTGAAGGCATCCAACTGATTTTCTAAAATTTTTATGAACGCGTCTCAGGGGTCGTATGCTCAAATTGACTATTGAAAACAACCTGGAAAAATTAAGCGTCTATAGAGATATATTGTACCATGGAAATTGATGCTAGTTTGACGATCCTGAATGAGGAGATAAGCATGAATAAGATTTCATAAGCAAAAAAGTTACTCTGACTCTGGAGTAAATTCAGAAAAAATATTTATGACAAAAAAATTTGCAGGGATTTGTACGAGGGTCTTAATTGGGGTCTTACTTTTACGCAAAAATTCTGGATTAATCTTGATGAATAATTTTTTAATAGAAATTTAGAGGCAAAAGGATATGCTTTAAAATTTAGAGCTACTGTATCCCTCAGATGACAAAGAATTAATTTCTTGCTTCTCAAGTAGTGTAATGCTATGCATCATATCATTCCGACTTCAAAATGCGGGCAAAGTACATCATCCACCAGTTTTTTTTTATTTCTTCTTCAGACGGATTCGGACTTTGAAAGTGATGCTTCCTGCTTTGACACGCCAAAGCATGCTCCAGCTCTGATCCGAGGAAGGAAGTCTTCGTTTCCGTCGACCCCGCATAAGGTCGCCATCGGGAACGGGACATCTGATCAAGCGACACCTACCCAAGCTCAGGAAAACAAAGTCTGCTCCGATGTCGCAGCGCCTCCACAGAGCCCGCCTACCATATCAACGCACGTAGACCCTCTGATGGGTGCAGAAACAGTGCTAGTCAACGGAACGAAGCCCACCACTCCTTCTCTCAAATGACGTGCTATTATGCTACGACGAAGCGTGCTTCATTTTTATTTTCAGTACGTTAGGT